CCCCAAAACCCCAAAACCCCAAAACCCCAAAACCCCACGTGAGCATCTAACTATTTATAAGATATTTCAAATTTATAATATAAAAATGAAACAAGAGCCATCCCAGAATTATCATCAGGTTGGCTTCAAAGATCAGAAGGAAAATTGGAAGGAGATCCCTGCTAAAGAACCGAGCCCTCAGAAAGATACCTCAGTACCAGTGGATATCATCCAGCCTGAAAGCGAAGAGAACAATGTTGTATTAAAAGAGAACAAGGCAAACTCAGAAGAAGCCAAAGGCTTTCCTTTAACAAAGGTGGAACCTGGCTCGATATTATTTTATATTAAGATCGCAGCTTTACTCTTCGTCTTAATATCAGTTGCAAGCCTCTTATACAGTTTGGAACTTCAGAGCATAAATTTCAGGAAGGAAACAGTAAAACATTTTGTAAGTCCTGTGTCTAACTTTCTAGTTAAAATCAGCACAGATGGTTGACCAAGAAGCTTATAATCGTAAGTCACCGCTACTGAGCATCTACTTTAATAAATCCTAATTGATTCTTTACCCCACCTCAGTCTTCTATCCTAACTATTATTTAGATGAAATCATGGATTCTGCCTTAGAGAGACTCAGCCAAATGATCAGGCATGAATCTTCGGATAAAGAGACTATTGAACTGATCGACAGATTTGTTGAAACTTTGGTATACTCAGACCAGTTCCTTAGGAAGTTCTCAAGCCAAGTGACTGAAAGAGGTAGGGTTCAACTATGACTTCTATTCATCAAAATTTTTATTTCTTTCTTGTCTACAAATAAAGCTGTAGATCTCTATTCTTCCAGTTTAGGATGCCGCTCAACTTCTGTACAATAAGTAGGTTAGCGCTGTTTATAAGAGATGAGCTATGGCAAAACCTTATCGAAAGCTGATTAAGAAAAGACAAATTTTAGAAAATTTAATTTTGAAAAGTCTGATCTTGTTCTTAGTAAACAGAGATAGATTTAACATTATACTTATGAGGAAACCAGGGTCATTAGTGCTGCTTAGAAGATTTAAAGACCCCTGAGTCACCATAAATTGGATACTCGTATTTCTAAATACAATCATCTGTTTGTATAAGAGGAAATTTTCATTGACAAATACTAAAGAATCAATTATGTTCGTATTTTGAATTTGAATGTTTAAATTTCTTAGAATTCTGTAAATATATTCTAAAATTCACCAGTCACTCCAGCTCAGGTATACCAGGAAGTTATTAACAATTTGGAAGGAAAACATCAAGGAATTCTAAAAAAGATTACAGATATTGGAAATAAGGGTGTTTCAAAAGTAAAGAAAGTTGCCAAGACTTTATTCGATAAACTGAGGAGCTAGATATATAAGCAATTAATTTTTCTTTTCTCCTAAATTCAACCACTTTTATCAAATTTACAACCAATAGCTAGATTTATGATATATAGCTTTAGTACTCTCTAAAATGACAGCTTTGCTGAGACACTCAGGACGGCGTTTCATCTATAGTTGCTAGTTTTCCCTTTGTCAATTTAAGAGATCTACGTGGGGTTTTGGGGTTTTGGGGTTTTGGGGG